CTCTCAAATCGAGCCAAACCTCTCAAATCGAGCCAAACCTCTCAAATCGAGCCAAACCTCTCAAACAGAATCGGACGGTACCTAGTATCGAAGCGACTTAGACAGATTCTAGACCGGGTTGATTCAGACTCAGTTCTGGTTGAGCATATGCAGGGAATTGACAAGTCTAAAGCCACAGCTAGTCCACAATCAGCGAATTTCGTGATACGTCTGGCGCTATATACTACTAAGTACTATAGTATGTACTATGTAGTAGTAGTGCGAGTGAAGGAAAAAGCTGTTTTAGCTGCACGCATGTATCGCTGGCTGCGCGATTACGCCCAATGCACAAGGGAGCTGCAGGTGAACGGGATCCGAAAGATTGAGGAAGGTTTGGGGCCGCACCGGGCAGGGTAGGAGTGCGCTTTCCCCGTCGCCATTCTTCTGACGTCAGAGACTCTCAGATCCACGTATACTACATAGCACTATACTATGTATGTAGTACTTCACATTTGAGAAACTTGAAAGTGACTGTTGATTCCAGTCTCTTGTCGAAGGCGGACCTGGTGGTCTATACGCATACACTTGGAACGTCTCAAACACCAAAGGAATACTTCATGGACCTTTTCACCCGGACGACATCCACAGCGACATTGTCAGCCTGATTCTTCTCTACTGTGGCTGCGGGTTTCGACTTTGCCAGAGGAGCGCTGCGTTGTTGTGGTCTCCTCGTGCGATGGAGCTTCAACGCCCTGCCCATTTGTCCGGCAAGCCAGGGGATCTGGTCCGGGCGGAGCAACGACCCAAGCGTGCTCGGATTCTTCTGCACGCCGGTCAAATCGAGAGGTTCTCCCGCTAAGCCCAGGACAAAGGCCATGGGTCCGAGGATGTTGTAGCCGCCCATGCAGAGGCTCTGGCGCTTGCGCTCATCTGCAGTCAAGGGCACGACGTTGTGGTCTCGGGCGTATTCCTTGGCCGGACTGCACGGATTCGAATAGCGGTCTTTGTCCGCCAGCGAAGGCCACGGGTACTCGATGTTTGCTGTATTCGACAGCTCGTGGATGGACCCGGGCTCGGTGCGGTTCCCGAGATGGAACGGGACGGCGGCGCAGATCTCGTCGACGCATCGCTGTAAAGTCTCCTCGGCGCATGTCCTCCATGCCTCCCCTTCGGAGGAGAGCAGCACGTCATTCTCTCTCGGCGTGGTACACACCGTTTGGTCTGCACCGAGCGTCATTCTGAGGAGGATCAGCCGATAGCTGGTGTACGCGTGCCACACGCCCGCGATCTGGACGGACGGGTAGATGTTGCAGAAGGCACCATACAGGCCTGCCCTTCTGACCGATTCTGGAACTTCATCTGCTGCCAGTCGCAAGGGGGAGTAGAACGAGTATTGCGCATCTGCCCAGATCTGCAGCCGCTGGTCAATGGCGGCCGCCGTCCTCCTGAACGACGCTATGATGCTGAGGTCTCTTGCAGTCAGCAACTTCTGACCCTTGGCAAAGCCGGCCTGCAGCGTGGACTTGTATTGCTCAAACACAGCCTGCAGGTTGGCGAGATCGATTGCAATCTTATCGAGGTCACTGGCCGGGTTGTACGGCATTGGGCCGTCGTCGTCCCACACCGCCGGGTCTATGTGGACCGGTCGGCGGGTCCGAATTGCCTCGGACACCATAGTGCTGCGCACCTCCTGCAAGATGCGCTTGGAGGCCATATTGCGGAAGCCTTTGCTCTTTCTGTACGTGACCATGGCGTATGCGCCTTTCTGGTGGCTTCCGTCGACTTTGACCATCTTGCGATGGGCAATCAGCGCTTCGCGGAACTGTAGCGCGACAATGGCGATCAAGGTCATGTCAGACTCACATCCCTCCGGGGACTTGAGGGTGTCCTTCAAGAGGTCGATGGCGCGACCGTAATACTGTCTCGACAGCGACGAATCTGGCGCAAGGCCCCGCCACATCGAGAGCATGGTTGCAGTAAGAGAAGCAGTCGCAACTGAGATCAAAGAATGCGGATCAGTCGGCTGATAGTACGGGATCAAATGCTCAAACAGCCCCCGCGAAGACTGCACGCCTCGCCCACCCATCATATAGTTGTGGGAAAAGAAGCACAGCGAGACAAAGTTCTCGTCCTCGCCGAGACAGGGGAGCACGGCGTTGGGGTATTCGTACTCGTCGTCCTCGGCGGTTTCTCTGTCGTTGGCGGCTTGGAACAGCTGAATCACCGTCTCGGTCTCGTCTCTGAACCGTATGCCGGGTTGTTCTGGCACGCCGGGACACGGCACCTTTCTCTTCAAGCAGTTTTTGCACAGAGGGCGGGAGAGGTCACACCTGACCTTGCGCCTTTTGCAGGTCATGCACCCACGCGAGGGGCCGGCGTAGACCATCTTCGAAAGAGAGATATGTATCTAGCTCACGTTGTGCAAAAGTCGATGTCTTCGACCAGTGTGTAGTCTACCCAGCATGTCCAGGAACAAGAGTGCCCGGTTGCCAGGTGAGGCTGTCGGTAAATCTGTGTCTGTATCGATGCGAATCGTCGCCATCGTCGACAGACAGCGGTAAATCAGGCCATGAAGTTGGGGCCGAGGAGATGTGGTTGTTGCCTAAGAACTTGAACTTGAAGCTTCCCTCTTGGGCATAGGCATAAAGCCGATCCCCCGGCCTATCCAGTCAGATATACCAGATGCAATGACTCCTCGCTTCAGGAGACAGACCGGCCGAACTCTATGCTTGGGGGGCCTGATTTGGCGGCTCAATTCCGAATACGAGTGGTTGGATCTCTCGAGTTGGTATGCATGCTGGACTTCCTTTATATCAGAATTTTTTCCGTCGGTGCAGAGGTAAGGTCCAGCTTTACCATCGAGGACTGTGTCGTGGACCGTCTGGAACATGACATTTCGATTGAGAGCTAGTAGTAGATCAATCTGTATCAGACGTGGGAAACAAAGCCGTGGAAATGAGAATGTTCGCCTATGCAAACTCTTGGAGTCACCTCCCCTGCGCGCCACATGGGCAGTCTCATGGTATCATGCAGTCCCTGCAACACTATGCTCATGTTTCCCTGATAAGTCGTTTGTGGACGCTGCCAGCCAGGATTGTGGCTTTCTTGAGACCTACTCTGTGCGGGCAATGAGGCTGACGCGGTCATAATGCCAAAACAACTTGGACTTTTGAACACTGACAACCCCAGGGGCCTTTCTCACTCGTCCACTCGTGCAGCTGCGCTCTTCGGCTCGGTCGAGCTCTGGCTGGGGTTGCTGGGGTGGCCAATGGCGTCGTTCCGGGCCAGAACATCCCCAAACCTGTCGACGGTCAAGCCCGCACGGCCGGGATGCTTGAATCCAGCCTCGACCTGCCTCTCGTAGCTGACTAGTCGCAACCTCTCACTCTCCGCCGGGGTCAGCTTCAAATACGTCTCGACACCGATGGCGTGGACCGCCAGACAAATCCACACCGACATGCCGAACGTCAAGTGGAACGAGGCGGTGACGAACTCAGGTCCTAGCCCGTGAACATTGGCTTTGATAACCACCGGTGCGCTCGAGTTCGGCGCAGTACACTCTGGGTAAAGATAGGGGGTGGGATTGCCCGCCCCGGGCGGTGCGCCGTACAAGGTGTATTGCTTCCAGATATCACCGCACGTCTGCACATCGTACCAATGCCCTTGCTGGTGTTGGGCGATGAAGGTATTGGCCGCCATCTGGACCAGACGTACCGAGATGATGCTGCCCGCGTACACCCAGGTGCGGATCATCCATGCCCGGTGTTGATCAATCTGCAAGCGCTTGATGTTGATGTATGCCAGTACAACGGAGAGTGTGGTCATGGTTCCCAGCAGGCCGAGCCCGGCTTGGGTAGATGGTGATCCGCCTCCGGCGATGGGGATGACCATGAATGCTCCCGCGGTGCCGGTCAGCAATAAAAGGATAATGGTGTAGCCGTTAAGACGATGGAAGAGCAGGAACTGGTGCCTGGTCGCCGGCACGAACTGAAAGCACACCAAAAACCCGGCCGGGAGGATGCAGGCGAGGTGAAGGATGATCCCGATCCGCTTGTAGCCTGATTGATAGTGGATTGCGTCTCCTGGTATCGTTTTCTGTATATCATCATCCATTGTCAGTCTCCAGTTGGGATCCTGTGCGGCATGGGGCCGTTTTCAGGGTTCAGGCAAGAAGAAAGTACCTTCAAAAAGATGCCGTCAATGTTCAAGTATTGGAACCGAGCGAGCACAAACCCCATGAGGGCCCCGACGAGTACGATGAAGAGTGTGAAATTGTACCCTCTCTTGAAGCCGAATACGTGGTATGTCCGCCGCCCGAACTTGACCCAGAGCTGGCCAGCGTTGGCCGCAGGACTGTGACCGTGCCTTGAGGATTTGTGCACGTCAGAAGGCACTGACATGTTGAATGAGGATTCCGGTCCGCGAACTGTGATGGACGAGGAAAGAACGGGGGTAGGATATAATGCGCCAGGGTGAGTGATGCTTGGGGGGGGGTGTCTTGAACTGCCCTTCTTCAACTTATGTGCGTGTATAGGAATTGGACAGGTGAGCGAAGAATGAATTCTCTGCCTGTAGCTGGCATGGACTCGACTTTTATAGACGAACGGTGTCGCTCCAGGAGATATGCCATTTCGCGGTTTCTCGCAAACCAGTCCGAAAACAGCATGCTTGATTGCTGAAGATTGTTGAGACTAGTACTCGTGAATGCCCTCTGGCCCTGCTAGGACATGGTCCTGGCGGTAATACATAACGGCCGATGCAAAGCCGCACGAACCTTCCTGATCAGTCGATTGAGAGACGGACGAACGAGAACAGAGAACCGAATGCCGGCTGCCGGGCTGAGCGTATGGTCCAAAGATCTTGACAGAAAAGAGCAAGGCGGCAAGCAAGGAACAACGACGTTAACCCTTGTTGCAGAATAGACACTAAGCCGCTTCCACTCGAGTTTGCGAAGCGAGTCTCCATCCGGAAATGGATTTCTGTCTAGCCGACGCCTAGCCTTTTTCGCTCGAGTTTGCGAAACTATGCTCGGTCGGGAAGAACTCTTGGTGTGGTGATCAATACGATGATCACTACATCATAAAGACATGATTGTGAGTCTGTCTTCACATGCACGTCCAGTAAACCGCCTCGGAGCAGATTTAATGTGCGGTAAATACGGCCTCAAAGCATTATTTTCCTCTTGGTGTGGAATGGGGTAGCTCTCGGTAGCCTCTGTGTGAGAATCACTGGCGACTACCGTCGATGACTCAATGTCGAGGACCGCTCGCGAGTACCGGCGTTTGAAGATGGACTGATGGGCCTCCTCATTTTGGTTTCCTCCCTCTTGATGTTTACAATCCTGTGTTGTGGCGAAGGCAATCTTCGTGCTCTGTCGCCAGATGCATGAAGCCTCGACTGCCAGCCATCATCGATAGTCCAGGACATTGTGTAAGTCGCCCATTGCCATCTCTAATCAAGGATTATTCAATTAAAGCGTCGAAGCTTAAAGAAGCAAACAGGGCGAGAAGGTTTCGATCCAGAACAGCTTCAAGCGGCGGTTCTCCATGAAATCCTGCCAGGGAGCCAGCATTTGCCCTGGAAGTCTCGAATTGTTATGTTGAGTCTACCACCCGATCGACTGCCCAGCAGTTTGAACGATTCCGGGGCACAGCTCGTGTGCAAAGTCGAATCTCAGCTTCCTCAAAGCATGAAACTGAAAAACTGGGATTGGCACAGCGTTGATCCAGAGCAGATTCGGGAGATGCGGGTGCTCATCGGACCTGCTGACCTTAAGTTCCAGACCCTCGGTCGAGACGGTGTTACGAGTCGGGATCTTGAGAGCGTCGGCGTGGGAAGGGTTCCGTCCACAGGGGAGTGGAGTTCATTGCCGAGTTGGAGGGAGGCAACAGTCCTCACACGGCGCGGAAAGATTAGCCATGGAGCCATCTCAGGTTTGTGAATCGATAATGGGTTTGAGGCGCGGTGGGTATACCCGTGTTTCGGTCGGGAATGCGGATATACCTGCTGTGCCTGCTGATGGGAATTGAGTGACCATGTTCCTTTGGAACCTCTGCCACTCATGGCTCCAGGGCCCTTGTGCCCTTGGAACTTCTGGGCGCCGTCCCATTCTTTCCAAGACTCTGTCACATTAGGGCATGCGGTTTCTGGGAAGAGCGCAACAATTCCGCTGACGATTCCATCAAGAAGTAAGAGCCTTAGGCTTCTGATAAGAGGCTGGCTGCGACAAGCCTGCTGTACCTTTGCAACTACGGATACCATTCAGCAGCTTTTCGAGGGGGTGTCCATCCAGTCTGCACTGGTTGTCGGGGGATGTGCCCTGAAGTCTTGAACTGGGGATAGAGCCGAAATAAGCGGACCGGGGCATTCGGTAGAATCTGGTTGGTCAGCCCGCTCCCAATCTCCCGGTCCCACTTCTCCCTGCCTTGCGATAGACGATACGCCAATCCAGAAGGGGTAATGAAAGGTTGAAAGTATCTCTGGAGATGTGCGGTCTAGAGTTACTCACTGACCTTGATGGTGGTTCGATGAGGTCCGGGGAGGCATAAATACTTCAGGTATCATCGCAGGATGTCACTGTCTCTCCCTCCAGGACGCAATCCAGAACCACCAAACAATTTGAAGCTCCCCAGAGAGCAAACGCCATGATGAGTGATAGTCGTGTTATTGCAGAGATAGGAGCGCAGACAGACCTCCCTCCTGGGACTGTTTTGCTTCATGATCGTGAGTTCCTCACAAAATGATCCGGGAGGTCTTTGCCACACACACCAGCTGACTCCTCATCCTGCCGTACACAGTACAGAAGTCGTCGACTGAGATCGTCCTGCACCCCATTCCAACAGCTGATCCAAATGACCCCTTGGTGAGTTGTACCACCCCTCGCACCTCCATCAGCGTTGCTTATTTTTGTCGAAGAACTGGTCCAGGTGGCGCAAGGCGCTCAACTTCGCACTGGCCAACGTCTTCGTCCTCTTCACCTTTGTCCTCCTGGACATCTCCTCAGTTGCGTACGGCTCATACACGGTAGAGCTGCACATTACATACTCGACCTTCACAGTTGCATCAGCTGTTGGCTTCACAGGTCTCGCCGTGGGGTGTGTGCTCTTCATCCCATTTGTCCACAAATATGGTCGGCGTCCAATATATCTTCTGAGTTGCGCTGTGCAATTTGCTTCTGCAGTGTGGTACGCCAAGATGAATAGCCGCGGAGAAATGATTGCTGTGAGCCTGTTATCCGGTCTTGGGGGCGCCCTCAGCGAAACCCTAGTCCAGGTCACCATTGCCGACCTGTTCTTCGTGCATCAGCACGCGACCATGAGCGCGATATTCTTGCTCGTGCAGGCTGCAGGCTCCTTCCTGGGTCCCGTTGCCGCCGGCTACGTGGTTGTTGCGCAAGGCTGGCGATGGATATGGTGGTGGTGCGCCATATTCTTGGGTGCCAATTTCTTCCTAGTTGGGGCCTTCTTCGAGGAATCCAAGTACATCCCCCAGATAGCTGGTCATCCACCGACGGCAACAGACCTGACTGAAGTGTCTGCCACTGACAAGGCCGACAAGAACGGCCTGATACTAGTGGAACAAGACGATGGCCACATGCGTTACATCGATATGAAGCCGCGATCATACAGACAGCGAATGGCCCTGTTCACCAAGACGGACGCATCGGTCACCCACCATTTCTACCAGCCATTTGTCATTCTTTGCACATTCCCAGCTGTCGCCTATACAGCTCTGACATATGGGTGCTTGGTGGCATGGTATGCTGTGATTGTCTCTGTGGTGGCTTCAACGATCATCTACCCCCCGTACAACTTCAGTGCGTCAAGCCTGGGTTTGATGTCCATTGCTCCGTTCGTGGGCTGTGCACTGGGCAGCATTCTAGGAGGGCCGCTGAATGATCGACTGATCAGCTGGTTGGCGAGAAGGAATCGAGGGGTGTTTGAACCGGAGATGCGCCTCTACATGTCGGTGCCAGCAGCAGTCCTCAACGTGGGCGGGATCTTGATTGTGGGACTGGGACTTGCACATGTGAGACTCTCCCTCTGAGCACCTGCTTGGCCAATTATACTAAATGCATGACTGTCCAGGGCTTAGCTTGGCCAGCTCTCGCCATCGGATTCGGAGTCTTTGGATTCGGTTTTGTCATCATTGGGGACGCCGCTTTGGCGTATGTGACCGACTGTTACCAGGATGTGAGTTTGCCAACCCCTTGACTTCGCGAGCACAGTTATCATTACCTAGGTACTCACTGAGACGGCAGATCGTTGGGGATGCGCTCGTCGCCGTCGTCTTCGTCCGAAACGGATTGTCCCTCGTCATCATGTTCTCACTGAGCCCCTGGCGTTCTGCACTTGGACTTCAAAACCTCTTCGTGTCCCTCGCCATGATTGCTCTTGCTATCTTCCTTGTTCCCATTCCACTAATGATTTGGGGAAAGAAGGCTCGGGTCAAGACTGCTGAAAGGTATCGAAATCTCTCAAATCGTCAGTCGTCGCGACGGACTGTCTCGTGATGATGCAGTGGTTGTGTCAAGAAACATGGCAAAGCACAATCTCTTCGTACTAGTGGCTGCAGCAAGTGCAATGGGACGAGAACAACCTGAAGTCGAGGGAGGTTGCGGGGCTCCAAACCTGTCAATTATTGTACAAGGAAAAAGAGGCGCCTAGGGAGGGCGATCTCCTCATTCATTTGTTGCCCTTAATCTATTCGGAGAGACAAAGATGGTGCTGCGCAGGAGCTCTGACAGGATCTTTGTACATTAGCCATTCCACTGTATACAGGACACCAACAGACACCAGCCACACGAGGTGCTGCCCGATGCTTCTAGCCACGTGGGGGCTAGATCGAGTTCCATTGTAGGTGCAGTTATCGCGGAAGGAAATAGGTGAAGAAGTAGTAACACCGTCAGGAAATGTTCAAGGTCCTATGAAGCTCGCGATGGTCGGTAGGGAGTGTAGGGGTGTGGGAGCGATTAACTCTGGGTCATTGCATGTCTTGGCACATTCTCAATCAGCTAGTAAGCCAGTAACTCCCCACGTGATCCTATAGTGGAGACCCCCCGTACCTCATCCTGAGCTGCCAAGCGAAGAGACACTTGATGCAGCGGAGCTGTTGGAGGTCGACCGCATTGAAGCTCCTCGCAGACTCCCACTGTCATTCCTCCAACCCAAACTCGTACCGACGCCCGATTGCCTGCGAAGGCTTCTGTCGGGTGCTGCATTGCAAGATGCACACCTGCCAACCCACCACCCTCGCGCTGCGCGCAGCTCGGTCGTCATTGAAACCCAAATCCTTCCGCCGCGGGTACAACCAAGACATTGCTATCACAAGGACGGGCAAACCGATCATAAAGCATCCAGGAGGGAGGTCATCGTTAGGAGGTTATACAGTCACTGTGTTCGGTGCCAATGGGTTCCTCGGAAGATACATTGTGCAGCGACTTGCGAAAAGAGGATGTCAAGTTGTCGTTCCTTACAGAGATGACATGGCAAAGAGACATTTGAAACCCACTGGCGACCTGGGAAGAGTTTCGTTTATGGAGTTCGACCTGAGAAACACGCAGTCGATTGAAGAGAGTGTGCGACACTCCGATATTGTGTTCAACCTGATTGGCAAGAATTACCCGACCAAAAACTTCAGTCTGTGGGATGTCAATGTCGAAGGTGTGGAAAGAATAGCTGAGGCCGTTGCAAAATACGACGTTGACCGTTTCATTCATGTCTCGTCGTACAATGCCGACATTGACTCGCCGTCGGAGTTCTTCAGGTCAAAGGTCAGAACATCCGGGGACATGGAGAGCACGGGCAGTTACTAATATCTCTGACAGGCCGAGGGAGAGCGAGTTGCAAGGCAACTCTTCCCCGAGACCACCATTGTTCGACCGGCCCCCTGCTTCGGCTTCGAAGACACTCTTCTCCATCGCCTTGCCAGCGTCACCAATTTGATCACCGTCAATAACATGCAGGAACGTTTCAATCCGGTTCATGTAAGTCCACCTTCGTGCCCCCATCGACTCTTCCGCAGCTCTGACTCTACGATGCTAGGCTATCGACATCGGGATCGCCCTGGAGAAGATTGGCTACGATGATACCACCGCAGGCGAGACCTTTGAACTCTACGGGCCCACAAACTACAGCATGCGCGAAATCGCCGAACTTGTCGATCGCGAAATCCTCAAGGAACGCCGCCACATTGACGTGCCTAAAGCCATGCTCAAGCCCATCCTTTATTACCTCAACAAGGTCATTTGGTGGCCAATCATGACAGCAGATCAATTGGAACAGGAGTCACTGGATCAGACGGTCGAAAAGGGGGCAAAGACATTCAAAGACCTCGGGATTGAACCGGCAGAGTTGAGGGATCTGACGTATTTGTATCTGCAAGACTATCGGAGCAGCTCCTACTATGATCTGCCGCCAGCGACGGCGAGGGAAAAGAAGGAGGCGAAGAAGTATGTGCATGTCATTGATGATCAGTAGATGAGCGGAAGAAGTTTCGGTGTGCACTGGGTGGCTGGATGGTCGAGCAAGGGTTGAGTCGAGGTTTTGTGGTTGAATTGGGCCCCTCGACACTTGAAAGATTGTACATACGTAGCTAGAGATTCAGGGTTCAAAACATCAGATGAATATCAGGCAACGGCACACATGATTGCCGTTCTCAGTGCCAGCTGATAGTACGGAATATCGGGTTACGGTGGGAGTATTCAGGTCCTTGCACTTGCTGGAAGAATAAGAGGGCGCCCGGCTACACATCCAGCCCAGCCCAGTTCCACCACCTCGTCCCGATGGCAAGTAAAGTACTCACGAGTACATAGATCTAGGCACTCTAACTAGGTATTTCTTTAGGTAGACGAGAAGGCAACTGCGAGCACATCCCCCTTTTCTCGCGCCGACAAGCTCCCTATCGCCAGTGAAGCGAACTTACAGGATCCCACGGCGCCGAGAAAATAGTCCTTCTCGCGGGCTCGCACACCCTCCCTCACACAGGACCAGAGACCATGTTACGTTCGCTGTGCACAGCTCTATACTGCATTTCCGTAAGTCGAAAGTAATGCAGGGCCGTCTAGGGTGACAGAGCTGACTGTGGTTAGCGAAATCCAGTGCGATCCATCCTTTGCGAATCAAAGACCCAAGAAAAGGTTGACGCATTCAGTCTCTCGTGGCTGCCACAATTGCCGAAGCTTTCACTGGAAATGCGTACCAGGAAGTACTGTCTCAGCCGCGAGGTTGTGTTGGTCCTAACACCTTCAGGTTCCTTGTCAATATTGTGCAGATTTAAAGCGGCTACAGGATAGCGCAGACTAATACGGCCTTGCAAGGCTGAAAGGCTACGCCTTTAAGGAGTTCTGTGACCTAAAAAGAGTTCAACGGCTATTTTCGATTGTCTGTCGGCCTGCCAGTATGACGATAGAAAACAAAAGGCGAAGTGGTCACACAACGCCAAGAAAATAGTGCCCCTGGCCCGCGCACAACAGGGCGGCACCCGGGGCAACAAGAAGCAAAATATACGCTTTCAATTCACCTTACTTCCACCAAAAAGAAGCCTATACCGCAACCGACATCAGGTTGTTTCGGAACAGGGCTTGTAGTATTTTCGCGTCAGCGACAGGGCTCGAACCTGTGCCTCCGAAGAGATGTGATAGCTCTTGAGATTGAATTCAAGTCACACGCCTTAGACCACTCGGCCACACTGACAAGACATGATCAATTTTTCTCGACCGAGAAAATTTGACATATTATTGCAGAGACTGTGTATCATTATTATGTATAGCTCAGATACCAATGACGTCATGTCTCGACCCCATGCCCCTATGGGTGCCCGGAGCTAGGCTTCTCTCTCGTGACTATGGAGAAACTACCGTGCATACCTGGATAGGTACAGAGTACGAGGTCATCCAGATCTGACATCTGACATCTACCTGGTTACGAGGTTACTTCTGACGGCGGCTAACCTTACCGTGGTCAGCTTTGCGGACGGGTGCGGCTCAGCAGCCAGAGTTCGACGCACAACGAGCTTCCAAGAAGAGCCGGCTGACCCAAGTGCGATTGGCGGTGTTCTGCTATTGTGGGCAGTCTGAAAAGATGGTCCTTACTTCCCAATGGCAGTGTATCGGGCATCTTGGCCGTGAATGCGTGCTGTTCCTTTGAGAAGAGGGGAAGAGGCACGATGGGAAGAAGGCAGATAGGAGAAGGCATATCAGACGGAAATAGGCAGTCATTAAATCGTATACCAGTTCCATTCAGACGCAACAATCGCGCGGAATGAGCAAGAAAGAGCAGTGGACCTCCGCCTGCTCCCAATGGACTCAAGTAGACATTTTAGTTCGGGGAAGAACAAGCTGGCCGTTCGAAAAGATTCACATCACCGAGCAGCTCTCCCGCATGGTCTCCAAATACCCAGCTTCTGAGTCATCCTCCTCGTTCAACGCCCCAGGTTTCCTCTTCATACCCTTCACGGTTATATTCTGTTCTCCAGCGCCATGCCACCATTTCATAACTTGCATCCCTTCACCGTCTACATCAACTGCGTCGATTCTCCATCGCCCGCCACTGACTTCCACCTGGGTTTTACCAGGCGGGAAATGGAACTCGGGCAAGAAAATCTCCGTAGGAACAGATTCCTTTGTTGCCCTGTCTGAAGTTAAAGAGAATGTGAAAGTCACGGATTTCAGGTCGAAGCCGTAACTCACAACGTCGCCGACGGTTGCGATTGGGGAGGGCCGAACCCACGCTTCGGCAGCACGGAAACCTGTCCCTTCCGCCATCCTCGATCTGGCTTGAGGGTCTTGATTGATCCGAGGAGTTAACAGTGCATCTTTGAGGTTGGACGGGTTTATTGTGGTCGAGTCTGACAGTGTTGACGATTGCTGGCCCAGGGATGCTGTCGAGGGGTTCGCAGAGGGCAGGGCTGACAATGTAGAGGCGCTTGGAAGGAGAGGATCATCAACCGAGACAATGGAGAGATCTTCGCCGTTCCATAAGTCGCCCCATTCGTGATTGTTCTGGCGATATTAGCAGTCGAATGTGCTGGGCTGGCTTGTTTCTTACCTGACTGACGTAGGTCCATAACGTATACCCCTGAGAACCTGACCCTTCCAAGGCAAAATGATTGGCGTCCAAAGCTGCGATCTGGCTTGAATAGTCACCAGACTTGTAGGCGTATTTATCATCCATATCGAAGGGAATTCCAATCTCTGTGAAAAGCGTGGGGTGGTCCCCCAGATAAGTCACGCCTTCTTCACGTATCGCCTTCAACTGGTCCCTTAAACAATTCCTAATAGCCGTCTCGCCGAACTTCACAGCGAACACGACGTTGGAGTATTTGTGACGCAGTATACCGAAAACATCCACATTGTAGTATTTGTTCCAATGTTTCTGGAGTAGTGTGATGCCATCGTAGTAATGAGTGGAAAAGACCAGTCTCTTATCGTCGTCAACGGTCCCCTTGATGTTCGGAGGGATTTCAAGAACAGCCGACTGTACCAGAATAATGCAATTCTTGTGGATCGACCGAATCGCATCTCTATACTTCCGAAAATGTTGCATGTAATAGATGTTGGTGTATTTGACATAGTCCAACTTCTCTCCAGATTTGGGTATCGAGGCGAAATAGTCTGGCTTCAAGAGCTGGTCTTGGCTGGGATCCCAGACGCCATTCTGAGCCCAGAGACACTCGCCCAATTTCCAGCCTGGGTCTCGCTTCCACCCGTACTGTGTGTCATCGAAGTCTTTCGAAAGCCACGCCGATATTCCTTCCGGATCCACCAATTCTCGACCGCTCTTGTATGACCCGAATGTGCTGAAGTCGTAGACATCGACTTCTGCGGCACGTCCTGCCCCTGTGAGAATGGATTGCCATGGGGTTGGCATTGTTCCTTTCCTCATTTTGAGCTCGTCCGGAAGCGCATCGAGGTCTTCCCAACCGATCAATCCTCGATGCGGCTCGTTCATCGTTTCCCACCCAATGATACACTCATCCTCTAGGCCGCCAGCATCATGTATTCTCTGGGCCAGATGTGAACAAGCTGAAAGGAAATGGTCCGTCAAGTAGTCCTGGATGTTCTTGCCATCTATGATAGCGTTGGGTGCAAAGTCCCGGCCAGCATAAAACAAGGTGAACGTAGTCTCAGTAGCCAAACGGGTGTAATTCGTCGGCCACAGCATCTTGGGAAATTGTGCAGGATCCGGCCAAGTATTGTGAACAACAGCAGCTTGGTTTACGGCAAAGGTCTCTGGGTCCAACCCACAGGCATGCAGAGTCCAGAGAGGTGCGCCGGAGCCCCCGGTAAACCTTGACCAGACGTCTTGATGGGGATCCATGAAGACATAAAGCCCATAGGATTTTGCTATCCGCAGGATCTTGATGGTGTGATTTATAAACTCCTCATCGTATTGGCCCGGTCCAGCATGCTCCAGGGCTTCCCAAGTGAAAATGTACCGAACAAGGTTGTAGCCCCATCTCTTGATCCTTGCAAAGTGTATGTGTGCCTCCTCTTCCGTGAAAGGGCGTCCCACGAAGGAGACGTTCTTAGCGTCGAAGAAGTTCTTGAATTCGTGAGAGGGTTGGCTCGGGTGACGGGGAAGTTTGCAATCTCCAGCAACGTTGATGCCGCGAAAAGTCACCTCACGCCCTTCGGAATCTCTAAACCTGACACCATCGATCGAGAGCCCATGGGTCGTCATCGGGAGACGATGGGAATGCGGGAAGTGTGGTGCGGGAGCATGCGGCACGAGCAGGTACGGAGCACAGTCGGATGTTCTGGACGCCGGCTTATACAGAGGGAGTATGGCAACAACGACAGAGACGAGAGACCAAACAGAAAGTTGCAAAACTTAGTGCGTCATCACAGTCGAGAAAGAGGAGGAGGTGGTGGCAGTTGAACTTCAAACGGGCTCAGAAGCACTGAGCATCTGCATTGGGAATAAAGTACGATCCGCCATGATGACGATGCATGAACTTGCATGCCAAGGGTCTTGATTGCCCTAGCCGGCAAGGCTGCGAGGCTGCGAGGCTGGCACTCTACCGAGTGCTCGCCACTATTTCTCCACCGAATCAGAAGCATATCATCAACGTTCATTTCGCGGAAGGATATACGCTTTCCTCGATATAGACAGACTGCTCAGAAATAGCAAGGTGGCCCGAGGCAGCTAATATTGTAAACGAAGATAGGAGCACTGGCCCGTCAGCCTTTCAATCCACTAGCAACAATGGCCACCCACTTCCACACAACCGGGCCGGATCCATACTTCTCCTTCACGTAGTCCAGGATGGCTCGCCGGGCAGACTGCCTGGACTGCTCAAACCCGTCCTTCGTATTGGCGAACGTTTCCTTCCAGAATTTCTGAATCATCATGTCCAGCGAGAATGGCAACATGGCTTCCACTTCTGCAATGTCCATCTTCGTGGTATTCTCCACAACCTGGGCTTCAGCGTCACGAAAGCCACACGTTTCCAGATGTACCTTGACATCTTTAACACTATCCCAGCGTTCTGGTGTCTCAGTGAATGCATGTCGAAGTTGTTCATCCGATGGAAACGGGGGCAATGAGGGATCCCTTGCGATACCTGCACGGTAGTCCGCAAACCACGGGACTTCTTGCCAGGTACTGAGGTTCAGGGTCCCACCAGACTGTAGAATGCGGTGGCATTCCCTAATGCCGGCGAGGGGACTGGACAGGATCTGTGGACCGAAGTTGAAGAAGATGTGCGTAAAGTGGGAAGAGGGAAATTTTGTGTCCTGCCAACCTCGCAGTCAGTTCTGGACGGACATGTTTGAAGGAGATGCACGGCAGACCATTGCATCAGCTTTCACAGCAGACACGTTATCCCAGCCTGAGGCCTTGATGCGTTGTGACACATTTGATACCATTGCATCAGAAATATCGGCGCATGTGAGGTCAAGCCTAGACTTCTCTTCCAAGGAGAGTCGTGACACGATGTGGGCAGAAACAACAGCAGAGCCGCATGCCTGGTCAAGAACAACAAGGCGGGAATCTCCCGGGGTGGGAAAGTTGGCTTGCCGAAAGAGCATTTCTGCGAATGGCCCCATGATAGCGTCGGCTTGAGAAAACATTTTGTCGAATTGGTTGGAGTCCATGTCGTGCATGCGGCAGGGGGAATCAGAAGAACGGATGTCTTTATATCGGCAAATTGTTTAGGGTACACTCTGGGTATTTGAAGACCCAAACTGCTCCGCCCAAGTGCAGATGGAAAGATGGCATTTATGCTGCCTTCTCGATCTAAACGTCCTTTAACTCATCTGCTTCTTGGAGTACTCTCCGAAGCCGGATCGGATAGATATTGGAAAACTCTCCGACACCTTGTTAGCACCAGCAATTTGAAGTCTAGGGATTTCAAATGTTTCCGAAACGCCTTTCTACTTGAGGTAGAGGCCAAGACTTTTCCAATCACGGCGTGTTGTCAACATCTTGACCGGGTATAACAGCCAGAGTAGATCCCAGCTTTAGAAGCAGTTGCTGGTCTCTGACTTACCTCGTCATCCCTACCTAGCAAGCGAAGACCTTCAACTTTGGAGGATTTCCTTCGTCGTTAGCCCGGAAGTCCAGTTCTAATAGCACTGGATTGGGTCCATGATCTCGTTCTTATGGCGTGAGGACAACATTCAACCTGTACTGTTGAACATGTTGGTTCCATACCTAGACACATTCGCAAAGGAAAGACAGACATAGAGCAGCGGTTTGCGTTCTATATTTTATCCATACAACTAGGCGGATAGATGATCGCACAACGACTTCTCTGGTCTGGGAAGCAAAGGGTGATCTTGAACTGGTGGTTTCGAAGGCCCAACGATGGAGCTGGAACCAATCCCCCCTTTCGTCAAGACATTCAAAGCTTAAGAAGAAGCTCCAAGTCGGGACAGCGGCAGCATTGTCCCAAGTACGCCTTGCAAAGGTAAGAAATGAGAAGGCCGGTGTCTACCTAGGTAGTGTGAGCAAGAGAGTCGCGTTGTCAAATACTAGGTATCGGGAAAGGTGACTCGGCGTGTACTAAGGGTGTAATACTTCTCCGTAGCCAAGACTTGGGCGGAGTACAATGCATGTAGGATGACTCCGTACACGTGACGAAGACAATGATTTCACTTGTTCTTCTTTTACAATTGTGTACCATCATTTCAAGAAACGTTTGCTCCCCGGCCAGATTATCAATATGGAAGAGACGCTGTTGTTGTGTGCAGGGGGCAAAGGTATTCCAGAAAGTGCCGGTCTAAGGTGAGGCAGTCAGTGCGAAGTGACTTGGCGAGCCTTCCCCTCGACATTCAATTCCGGCGGGACAACTCCTCGTCATTTGCCGTGTGTACTGGCGTCAATTTGTGAAATATCTACCAATGGCGTCGTCCAAAGCCGCCTTAAAGGCGGTTAAGGCTTCCTTGGACACCAGTCAATTCGCCAAAGCAGCGGAGCAAGCCGAGGATTTGCTCAAACAAGACGACAAGAACTACACAGCCCTCCTCTTCCTTGGATTCGCAAGAGAGAAGCTTGGAGATCTAGAGGCTGCAGAGAAAGCCCTGCACGGAGCTGCCACCGTCAAGCCCGACGATGTCCAAGCTTACAAGGGGCTGGTGACTCTGTACGAAAAGCAAGGCAAAGCCAAATTGGACCAATATCATGATGTGGCATTCAGGTTGGCAGAGATATACGCACAGCAAGACGACAAAGGTCAATGTCAGAACGTGATTGACAAATACGAGCTGTTTGCAAAGAAACATGGCAGCCGATCACAGTACCGTCGGGCGCTCGAGCTCATTCTACCGACCTCAAGCCTCTACTCTACCCTCGAGGGCCGTGTTCTACAACCGAGTCTGGCCTACCAACGCATCCTGGAGTCAGCAGAAGCCGAAGAGAAGGAGTGGATCAACACGCAGATTGGAGAAAGAAGGACGCGTCTTGGAGCAAAGATTGATCAAGTGACTCGACAAGTCAAATGCGAGGCTATAAGCAGGTTTCAGGTCGAGGAAAAGTACGCTGGTCTCATTGATTGGACAAGGGATGATGATGCTCGTCACGATCTCGAGCAGAAACTTTTCGAGCGCATGTACGACAATTTGCTTGTCCTGCCGGAGGAATCCAAGCCTGTTCAACGGGACAAGGTCCTGAATATGGCAAATGGCATGGTCATCATCAAACACCCTTTTCTCTTGGCTTGGAAAGTCGCCCTTGAGTGGGTTGATGCCGAAGAGCTGGGAGACTGGGATGTCAACATCTTTCGCGAGTACACTGGCTTCTTTCCAGAGGACGGCCTGAGCAAAGTGCTCCGTGGCTTTCTCGACAGCGACGCCTCGCCGTTTCCGCACCTACCAGTCGAAGAGAAGGAGGGAGAAGAGACGCCCCAGAGGCTTAGTGAAGCAGAACAGCTCATTCTAATGAATGAAGGCCTTGAACGGTGTCCGGAATCGCTGCTTGGGCATCGAATCATGGCACATGTCTACCTCGGTTTGAAAGAGTGGGAGAGCACCGTCGATATTGCGAGGAAAGCTCAGAAATTGCACCTAGATGCTCAACGCCGCTATGCTATTGACCTGCAAAACAGCCTCGACGGTGTTAACCTCATCCTGGCAAATGCATTGATCACATTTCAATCACCGCGACATCACCCCGAAGCCAAAGCATTGTTCCAAGACATTCTCCGGCGGAAGCCCAAGCTTACTGCTGCCTTGTTAGGTGTGGGACTGATCTACGAGGACGATGAAGATTACGCGGAGGCCGTCAAGTTCTTCGGCCAAGCAGCCGAACGTGATCCAGATAATGCCAGGATCAAGATCGAGCTCGCGTGGTGTCGTGCGCACAATGGGCAACTCCGCGAGGGCCTGCAGGGACTCCAGGAGGTGCTATCAGCGATCGAATCAGAAAAGCAACAGAACTTGGCCATGAAATCAGTCACTCTGTACCGCATCGCGTACTGCAATTGGCATATTAACACTTCCGCAACCGCTCGGAAAGACAAGTCTGGTCCTTATCAGTTTCTCATCGCCTCCGTCAAGGCCGACCCAAATTACGCACCCGCTTACACCCTCTTGGGGGTCTACTTTCAAGATTACGGCAAAAGCAAAGCCCGAGCGCGCGTTGCCTTGCAAAAGGCATTTGAGCTCTCCACCTCGGAGCTCGAAGCCGCGCACCGCCTCGCCAAGGCCTTTGCGGACAATGCAGAATGGGATCTCGTGGAACTGGTCGCCCAACGTGTTGTGACGTCGGGAAAAGCCAGGCCGGCTCCAGGTTCGAAGAAGAAAGCTCACAGTTGGCCCTACACGGCGCTGGGGGTGGTGCAGATGAACAAACAACATTACACGCAAGCGATTGTTTCCTTCCAGCAGGCACTGAGGATCACACCAGATGATTACCACTCCTGGGTCGGACTCGGCGAGAGCTATCACAATGCCGGCCGACATGTCGCTGCCACGCGGGCGTTTGCCAAAGCTGCGAGTATCGAACACGGTCTGTCGCCCGAAGAGACCTGGTTTGCCAAGTACATGCTCGCCAATGTTCAACGAGAGATGGGCTCCTTTGACGAGGCCATTGCCGCATACAGAGAGATTCTTGTTCTGAAACCGACAGAGTTTGGAGTGCTTATTGCGTTACTCCAGACGATTTCCGAGAGTGCGTGGGCAAAGGTTGCGCTGGGTATGTTTGGCGAGGCGGCAAAACTTGCCTCCTCTGTAATCGAGCTGGCGAAGCAGATCGCCGAACAGGGGACCGACGTGTTCAATTTGTGGAAATCTGTTGGCGATGCTTGCTCTGTTCTTGGGCACGTCAAACTATACACGAACACGACAGAGGTTCAGGCGGTGTCCGATTTGCTGCAGATTTCCCTCCAAGACGAGTTCAACACTCTCAAAGACATCGACAAGGTCGATTTTGGGTTCCTCACGGCCGCCGGCGACTCTCCAACTCCTACGGACACAGCGGACAAATATCTCTTGGCCGCGATCCTCGCTCACAAACGTGGCGTCCATGCTTCCTCATCCGACCCACTCGCCCAAGCCGTCTCGTGGTACAATCTCGGCTGGGCAGAACATCAAGCTTATGTTTCTGGCGGGGCATCTCTCAAAATGCAAGGCAAAAGACCTCGCAGATTGCTTAAAGCGTCAATGACATGCTTCAAACGAGCCATCGAGCTGGAAGCCGGCAACTCCGACTTTTGGAACGCACTGGGCGTGGTGACTATGACACTTAGTCCCAAAGTCTCGCAGCATTCATTCGTGAGAAGTCTACATTTGAACGAGAATAATGCTTGGACGTGGACGAATCTCGGGGTGTTGTATCTCTTGAACAGCGATACTCAGCTCGCCGGTGAAGCTTTCACGCGTGCACAATCGGAGGATCCGGAATATGCGGAGGCATGGATCGGTCAGGGGTTTCTGGCGATGTTGTTCGGAAGCCTGAACGAAGCGAGAGGTCTGTTCATGCACGCGTTCGAGATTGCGGACTCTTATGTTCTCCCTGCAAAACGCCACTTTGCGCTGTCAGCGTTTGACCATTTGCTCAAGGATTCGTCTCGGTCCCAGGAGGTCATTGCTTTGTTGAGGCCCCTCTTCGCCTTGCGCCAGTTTCATGTCCTGGAGCCAGGTGATATGATCGCGACTCATCTCATGGCTCTATTTGCGGAACGGGTTGGGGATCATTCTACGAGCGTCGAGGTCTTGCAGGAAGTCTGCGACGCGGCCGAAGCAGAGTATGAAAAGTCCGAGTCGGACGAATACCTGGTCAGGTTTGCGCAGGCGAAAGCCGATCTAGCTCGTGCACAGCTTGCGTGTGGCGAGTACGAAGAAGCAGTTTCCAACGCGGAGACTGCGCTCGATCTGTCTGGTGAACCTGGTGATCTTGGCCCGGCATATGCAGAAGCTCGCCGAAAATGGCGCCTTTCAGCACATCTGACGGCAGGCCTTGCACAAAGTCATTTGAAGCAGATTGAAAGCTCGATCAAAATGTTTGAGGTGGCGCTACAGGACTCCGATCGGGAACCAGATGTTGTCTGCATGCTGGCCCAAGTTCTGTGGGCAAAAGGTGGCTCGGAGGAGAAGGAGGCGGCGAGATCGCAGCTGTTTGACGTGATTGAAAACCATCCGGGACACGTTCAGGCCGTCGCCTTGCTCGCGGTCACCGGCCTGTTAGACAACGATGAAGATGTGCTGGAAGCTGTAGAGGAAGATCTCAAGGCATTGAGACGTGGAGACGAGATTGGAGTGCTGGACAAGATTCGCGTCAGTAAAGTCCTGGCTGGCATTGTTGGCTGTCGACCTCGGAAAACCCCCGCGGATCAAGTGGATGACGTTGCAGTGGTTGCAGATGCTCTTAACGGGATCATGCTTGCACCAGGGCAACCGCAAGGCTGGCTTGAACTCGCGCAAGCGGTGGACGGGGACGAAGACGGCCGTGTTTACGCTGCCGAAATGGCGGTGCTTAATGCTGAGAGACAGATTCCACCGGGTGGCAACCTCACTGCGGAGGACTTGGCTAGGGCCTACGAAGGGACGAGCAGAGCAGAGGATTTTCTTAAGGCGAAGATGCTCGCGCCGTGGAGGCTGGAGATCGCTGCTGAGGTTTCGTGAGGACTCGGCGGGAATCTGTTCTGCCCGCAATTTCAAGGTGTGGCCTACGAACTGAAGGAGCGGGTGATGAGGTTGTTGAGAACACAAGAGAATGCGTTCTCTTAGCCCTAGTCCTCGGAATAGATAGTGGATAGCCCTGTGAGAGATCAATTGTAAGCGAAAAGCTCAGGAAAATGGTGCTTGTCCTTTCATACTTCACTCTCTCTCTCTCTTAACTCGTCCAGGCCTCAGTGCTCCTCTTAGCTACCCCCAGCGGCATTTTCTTCCCTGACCAATGCGGTCAATCTTTGCTTCCTCTCCTCCTTCCATTTCTTATCCCAGGCCTCGACCTTACCACCAAGCACAACACAGGTATCCGGCGTCAGCATGACCATGCCTCTCCGCACGACCGTGTCAGGCTTTAGAAGCAGTTTGCACCCGATGAACATTCCTGGGTCTTCAGGAATTGCTGCTGCTGCGGTGCCGCCGAGGTTTCGAGCCGAAGGTGGAAGAGAGGCCGACGCCGTCGTGGAGAGTCCGATCTTGGGGATCTTGACCAGCTCGAAAGCTAGCACTTTGGTGCCCCGGGCGTCTTGGAGCAGGAGCTTGTGAGGGCCGGCGCTGAGTTTCTTGCTCGCGGACGAAGGCAAAGTCATCGACGAGGGAGCGTGTGTGCTCCCCACTGTAGCTGGTCGGGCGACATCGTCCTCGTTGTCATTACCCATGCCATTTACCGTCCGGATGACTTCTCGTCCGCGAACCTCCTCGCCGCGCTCGACCCGCTCGATGGCCTCGACCTGGCTCCATTTGCTACTGCCCACGTCGAGAACGTCGAGGACTTGGGCGATCACATTGCCTTCGAGTCGTCGTTCCTTGACATTCACATCGCTGATGCCTTCGGGAAGGACTTCTGCCGTAGTTGTCGGCGAGACGGTGGTTGTGATGTCGCTTGCGAGAATGCGGAAGTGCGCGGTCGATATGAGGGCCGGGAGAGGGGGCGGGTTTGGGCCCCGCGACGTGAGGAATGTGTCGAGCCACTGCGCGTTGACGGGGATGTTGTGGCGTGTTTGTAGGGCCGAGGAGACTTGATTGTGCAGGGGATGCATAGCTGACAGTTTCGGGACGGTGCAAAAAATTTTAGGTCTCAAGTCTCATTCTTCCCTTGTTTTGAAAGGATGGTCGGGAGCCAGCACCGTATCATGGGTGTCAAATGGGTGGTCTGCTGGAAGGGAGACGTGAACATGGCCGAACCCGCACACGTGAACTCTGAGCGTTGCCGAGTGTGAATACGCGTTGAGTTTTGGAGTTGACGCGAGAGGGAGGGCGAGTCGGTCGTTTGTTGATATATGACCCTTTGGGTAAACGAGCTGGCGGTGTTACACGGAAGAGAATCAAATACATGTGACGCGGGGGAATTTTGCTCGAGTCGACGCAAGGCTGACGGACTAACAACCCAGTGTCAAGTGCTGGAAAATCTACTCGCGGCTCACCCCGGGCGTTGAGATTAGGGTGGTACCGCTCTATAGGTACCTAGGTAGGTACCTAGCGAGCCTAGGTACTCACCACAGGAGGGGCGGCGCGAGTTAGGGGCGAGTTGGGTGAGCGATCACCTGCGTCTCACCTATAGTGGGGGCCACCACGTCTCGCGTAGGCTTTAATAGGCCCCGGTCGGGTTAGGTTTAGGGGGTTCCTCTACGTTTTGGCAGACGAACACATAAGGTAGCGCCGTCTGGGAGCCTAATAAGACGATCATTTGGCCAAGGTACATGGACTGAAGGGCTTCCGTAAAATATGGCAATCTTCTGGTCGTCATTTCTTCCCTTCTTCTCCACCTGATAAAGCCCGCTACTTGGACACGAGCATCTGGCCATATTACATCTCCATTCTGCCCACTTTACTATTTCAACCCCCGTTTATTGTTACTTACACCCACTGTCAAGAGAGAAACAAAAGCTCCAGTCTACCTGAGCCATTGAGCATTTCTTGGGGGATCTCCTCCTCCGTTTCCAGCCTTCCGCCTAGACACGGCCTTTACCTCTCAAGTCGTTGAGAATGCTTGAGACGATGTGCATTAGGGCTGCCCGAGATTCCCAGATAGGGTAGAGGATGCAGCCGCACGCGGCGACCAGCAACCATGCGATGACCAGACTGATCCAGGTGGTGAAGCCGCCCTTGCCGTAGATTACAGACGTGAAAAAGATGGGGAACGGCACGATGATGACCATGATGGTGCACAGCACGAGCGAGACCCAGACGGAGCGGACAAAGGACCTCTGCAGGAACGCCAACTCGGCGTCGTCGTAACGGGACGTGGAGCAGTCATCCATCATGGAGCCTGTGCCAGAAACGGGCTGAGACACCTCGTTGACGTTGGTAGCGAGCGTCTTTTCCTCGTCGGTGGCGGTGGCAGCAGCAGCAGGAGCAGTAGTAGCGGTTGCCGTTACCGACTCCTTTTTGAAGGAGCTGATTTCATCGTCCCCGTTGCCTGCGTCCCCCATGCCCTGTGAGAGTGTACCTGTGCTTGACTCCTGGACATCCCGACCCTGCAGCAGGGCCTGGGACTGTCCGATGGCCTTCATAGCGGAGAAGTCGTAGTTCTCGGGATGGACCCTCATGCCGACCAAGGCGATAATGAAGCTCACGGCACCGCCGACGCAACTGCCAGCCAGCATGGGGTAGTCCTGACCCGTGGTCTCGACGGAGATGACACCGCCGTTCAAGCCACCGGCGACGGCAAGCCACGAGGCCATGGCTGAGATGACACCGATCCAGATGGCGGCGAAGCACCACCATTTGCTGGCGGAGCGGCTGCGCATGGCCATGCAAACGATTGGAGCGGCCGAACCTAGAACACAGCCGACAAACTCGAACAGCCAGCCCAGCGAGATGCCGATCTTGTAGAACATGATGCCGAAGACGGCCATACACAGACCCCACAGGCAGACGCCTAGGTGGGAGACGCGCATCAACTGCTTCTCCGAGGCCCCGGGATTGATGTATGTCGCGTAGATGTCGTAGGTGAAGATGCTGGAGACCGCGATCAGCTCCGCCGACGAGGCCGAGGTGACGGCCAGGAAGAGCAGCACTAGCATCAGCGTGGCGCCGGAGGTGCCCAGCAGCGCGGTCACGCCGTAAGGGGCTGCCAGCCCCGCGCTGACCTGATCGGGGGTAAGGAGATTCGGGTAGCCGGGATAGTCGGGGTGACTGGACAGGGCGACGCTGGTCAGCCCCATGCAAGAGGCAAAGCCCATGGGGATTGCGAACCAGAGTAAGCCGCCGGCGATAAAGGCCTTGACGGAGCTGCGGGTCTCGGAGGCGATGGCACGCTGCCAGTAGGCCTGGTCGAGGAAGACGGTGGCAAAGTTGCCCGTGATATTGATGACGCCGAAGATGATGGCCCCTTTGCTGCGGAAAGTCACGTACGACCCACCCGCGTTGTTTGGCACCGGGTTTCGTGCCGCCGCTTCCTGCAGCAGCTCCCACATGCGGGCCGGGGAGCCAATCTTGTCGCTGGCCGCGTAGACGGTGAACATGAAGAACAGAATGACCACGAACAGGACCGATGTGTGCGTGAAGTCGCACAGCAGCGTGGCCCGCATGCCACCAACCACCACGTAGCCAACAACAGTGGCCGGGATGAGGAAGCAAGCCGCCTCGACCGACATGCCAGTCAGGGCGTGCACGGTGTCGCTGGACCCGACGATCAGCATGGACGAGACCAGGAAGTTGGTCACGAAGCCGAAGAACATGCAGCTCAGGTGCATCAGCGTGCCCCAGCGCAATTTGACCGGCTGGAGAAACGTGTTGGCCGTGGGCGCGTTGATCTTGAGCTTGGCCGAGTTCTGCGCCATCACCAGCACCTGCACCGTCGCGCCCGCTGCATACCAGTACGGCCCGCTGATGCCGTACTTGTACGCAATGGTCGAGCTCTGCAGTAGGGTCGCCGCCCATGTCCACGCCGACACCACCCCAGCCGCGATCAGCCCAGGCTTCACGGAGCGCGATGCGCTGTTGAATTCGACAGCGTGGTTGGGCGAGTAGTCCGTATATCGCGCCTGTAGCCAGGTGATGCCCAGCATGAACACCGTGAAGAAACATCCGACCCCGATCACGATGCCGTAACCGACGCCCTCCGGTAGGATGGTGGCGGTCATCTTGGGTTTATCAGAGGGTTTTGTCAGTGGCTAAGGGGAGGGTAAGGTGCAGTTGGGGGGTATAGACAAAAGGTGCGATGTCCTTGATCAACCGTGTATATTCCTAGAGTGTATTATATCCCTGCTCTCTGCGTAAAAGGCTGGTATGGGAGACGATCACCAGGTGTATGCCTGTTTCTGCTCACAGAAGGGATGATTGATTGAATTCGTCTGTTACCTTGTCCCATGGCGTCGCTTGTCTTTATACACCTTCTACCCAGGGTCCGCGTCTCAATCACATGTGTTCCTTTTCTGGTATGCTCCTGTTCATGGTCAGCTCGGAACGTAGATAATTGTTTGTTCATCAGCTATTGTGCAATGTGCGTCGTTTATCGCCGTCTCCCCTTTTTGGAATGGACCATAGCAACCAATGCTTCTCCCCAAGTAGGTCCGTGATTCAAATCCTGGGAGGAGATAAGGGACGATAACTCGCACTGTCGTATGAGAAGCACGATATATCTGATAGGGAAGGAACGACAAAGGCGACGCGCAGTATGAGGGTTTTCGTCGAGAATTGATATTCGATATTTGATAGTCGATAGTCGATAGTCGATAGTCGATAGTCGATAGTCGATAAGTCGATACGACTAGGTCGATAAGGCGGCGAAGGCCTGGTCGTCCAGCCAGTCATGTATGGATGGCCGTTTCAGAGTCGGCAACAAGTTTCCAGTCTCCACAGTATGACTGATGTATTGTCGTTCAAGGCCGTGTCCGTCAAAAGAGCGGGCGAGGGAGTAATCAGCGAGAGAGAGACACTTACCTTGTTTGTCCCCGCTTGTTCAACGGGCAAACCTAGATCATTCTTCAGCTTTGCAATACTTACTCGCAAACTGCCCGCTGTGGACGACTGACATAACCTGGTATCTGGTATCATACTGTATAGTTGCTGTACTGGTAGGTAAGGAAGTCCGTGTCTGACTGTGGTATATAGAGGTGCAGGCTAGGTGGATCGTGACCGGAAAGCATTCTCCGGAACTCGGTGGGGCCGCCCATCCAGACGAAGTATAGATCTACCAGGCGGAGCCGCAGATCTGAAGCATCCAGATAAAAAAGCATAGCCTGCCGGTCGAGACCGCCTCGTCGAATAAGGTCGCGCCATGATCCGGAATTCAGAGTGATTGTCAGTTGTTTTTCGTTGTTGGCTCGAACGACAAGGGCGCCGACCGGCCTTGGCCGCCTTATTGAAGCTTGCCGGCTGATTCGGCGAGGACCCGCCCACACCGTTTCAAGGCAGGCTCCTTGACGTCCTGTTAGAGTGAACATGTTCCTTGTCGATCTCAAGGCAAATGTAGAGTTCTTGGGAACTCGCTTATCAGGCGAAGTGCATGCATAACATCTCGCTCAGAGAGCTCTCTATACCCTGCCCGCGGTCAAGGCCGGTACTTATCTTTCTTTCTTTCCACTTTGGGTTTTGCTTTGTCTTCGTCGAGCACGATGTAGCCCGCTAGCCTCCCGAGTACTCTTGCATGGTGTTGGCCTTGGGGTGCATTTGGATATCTGTGGAATGAAGGGGGTACGGTCGCTACTGGTCAGCAGCTAGAGCTGTGTCGTCCCTGTAATGCTTTGCGCTTCCCCGGATATAAAAGAACATACAGATCCTGGGGGCCAGTGAGCGAAAGAATACCTCGTCGCAACCGCCAGACAGTATACAAACACAGGGTGCCTCACACGTACGTTTGGTCTGTCTGTGCTGCTCCCCAAGGTCCCCCTCTCCTGCCCAAACTAAACCCTCAACAAAGATGTCGACCGCTGCATTTGCTCTCAAGGGAGCGAAGCGGGCAAAGACGCGCGATGCCCTCATCCCCAAGCAGTACTGGGTACCCACCAAGGACCTGCCCCCAGCGGAGCAGACTTCGGTCGTCGGCCTTCTGTCACCGCTGCTGACGGACAAGGAGATTGCCATAGTCTCCATCTTGGACGTGACGGCGCTGCTCGAAAAGATCCATTCGCGCCAGTTGTCGGCCGTTGAGGTGCTCGAGGCCTACGTCAAGCAGACCATCTTTACACAGCAGCTCGTGGGCGTGCTCACAGAGACCATGATCCCGGAGGCTTTTGAGCGTGCCCGAGCCCTGGACAAGACGCTGGCGGAGACCGGCAAGCCCGTGGGGCCCTTGCACGGGCTGCCCATCTCGCTCAAGGACCAGTTCCACATCAAGGGTTACGAGCTGAACATTGGCTATGTGTCGCGCATCGGCACCGTCTCAGACCGACACTGCACGCTCGTAGACCTGCTCGTCAAGGCCGGCGCCGTCTACTATGTACGAACTAACCTGCCGCAAAATATCATGCGCGGCGAGGTGGACAACTTTGTCTATGGCCTCACCACCAACCCGTCCAACCGTACATTAACCCCCGGCGGCTCCACCGGCGGCGAGGGCGCCCTCCTGGCTATGCACGGCTCCCCACTCGGCGTTGGCACCGATATTGGCGGCTCAGTACGCATCCCCGCAGCGTTCTGTGGCATCTGGTCGCTTCGCCCGTCATACCACCGCGTGCCGTACCAGTGGTCCGCCAACTCCATGCTGGGCCAGGAGGCAGTGCCGTCGGTCATCGGCCCGATGTGCTCGTCATACTCGGGCCTGGTCGAGTTCATGAAGGCCATCGCTGAGCAGGAACCCTGGTTGCACGACCCTCTGGTTCTCGAGAAGCCCTGGAACCAGGCCGCCTTTGAGGCACCGCAGAACAAGGAGAAACTCAGCTTTGCCATGATGTGGGACGACGGCGTCACACGAGTCCACCCACCCATCGCTAGGGCTGAGAAGGCGGTCGTAGCCGCCCTGAAAGCCGCAGGCCACGAGGTCATTGACTGGGTCGGCGTGAACCACGTCGAGGGCACCGCCATCCTCGACATCGTTTACAAAGCGGATGGTGGCAAGGACATTCGCGACGAGTGCGAGGCCTCCGGGGAGCCCATCTTGCCCGGCCTCGGCGAAGGCGCGTCCAAGCACCTGAGCGTGTGGGAGGCGTGGCAGCTGAATAAGCGTCGCGACGCCTACCGTAAGACTTACCTGGACGCCTGGAACACATCGGCCTCCAAGACGTCCACCGGTCGTCCAGTTGATGCCATCATCAGCCCTGTCGCACCCTTCGTGGCCGCCGTCTTGTCGGAGAACGACAATCTCGATTACACCTCCATCTGGAACCTGCTGGACTATCCCAGTGTCGTCTTCCCCACTGGCCTGCGCGTCGATCCAAAGATCGACACGGGGAAGATAGCCGGCGAGCCCCTCCCAGGTGAAAGAGATCGTATCAACGCCGCCAGGTGGGAGGAACATGGGGCTGCAGGCTATAACAATGCTCCCATTGGCTTGCAAGTACTTGGACGCAGGGGTCGGGAAGAGGAGATCCTGGGAATCGCCAAAGTTATTGGCAAAGCGATTAAACAGATCTGAAATTCTCCACAGCGTCTCAAATGGCTTAACCAAAATGAAGTGTCCGAACTCGGCTCTTCCGATAGTGATTTGATATCTGGGTTCAGCCCCGACTCGTGAGAAGTTTCCTACCGGCATTTACATGTAGGGTATTTAATTGCAGACTACAAACTTGACCGTGATGTACCCTTCGACCCTAAACGTGCCCGTTCTGCAGCAACAGCGGCAGAACTTGCTGCGAAAGTCTCCGGTAAGCATCTGTCATTCCCGCCATACCCGGCCACTGCTCTCCACACCATCCGAGGAGAACCAAGCACATGCTAGATAGTCCAAAGATGTCGTTGCTCCCGTACGGGAGCTTCTCCGTCCGGACAGAGGTAAAAACATCCGACAAGTGGCATAGGGTTTCCACACGCCCATCAAGGGTCAACAAAGCATGAGCCATTAGTGTCATGGCGGCCGACCATATCGAATACGCTGACAGAAAGGTCAAGGGATAAGTGCCCAGGTTGGAATTCTCTGGGGCTCGCAGGATGCTGTCGTGTATACGGATCAGTTCACAGGCAGAATAGAAGCTCTCGGACGGAACGGGTTCAGACTCCACACCCTCGGTGCTGACGCCACTGCTCGGCCCTGAGAGTGCCCTCAGGATCAAAGGTTGGAAGAGAAAGACGACGGCAGAGTGGAAAGCAACGCTGCACGTAAGGGTGCCACATCCGACGCTGTGCTTGAATGGCTCCACCTCCTGAAACCATTGGTGCAGCTCAAAGTACTTATTGATGAACCAATCCAGGCTGCGGATCGGTCCTCGAAGATCTGGCCGCAGGTACATGTCGGTGTAAAGCTCCCCACGCAAGTACATGAGTCGGGAGACATGCCGGGCGCAAAAGGTCTGGATTGCCGCGTCATTGTCGCCTTGGTTCAGATCATGGGACGGAAACGTGCTGGGATGCGCTGTCGAGATGATAGATCCAGGCAGGTCTGACGGCCGACCATAATACTGTCCGAGAAGCCGCTCGATCGAGTACAGGGTCCAGAAAATGTCCCGGCGCGCCACGCCCTCCCGGCCAAGCTCCAGGCTGGCGTGATTCTCCACATGATAGTTCAGTTGGATGCTTAATCGGCAGGCGAAATCGAGCAGCTTCCAGATGTTTCCTTTGCGAGGGAAGAACAAGCAGTAAATTCCGAGGAAGAGCAGCGCCTCCAGCGAGTCCACCGACACCTCGTACGTCACGGCTTCCACTAGCTTGAGGGCCTCGTGGTAGAAGGCATCGGCGTGCGCCAGCAAACTGCGTTGATGTCTCATTTTGCTCGCACAAGCGATGGCACACATTATCGTCACTCGAAAGTATTGGTATGCGGGTTTGCCTTGCAGTTTCCCCGCGTCAAAGCCAGGGCATGACCGGAGCTCAAAATATGCAGTCATGTCTATCTTCAGGAGCTCTTGATCCACAAACGGGTAGACGACGCCTATCGACGACAAATACCAAGTGAGAAGCGATGGGACCATTTTTTTCAAGTTTCTATCTGCTGACAGTCCGTGGAAATCTGTCAACGCGCCGAAACTCTCATCCGTGGGGGAGACCGATTCCAGCGCTGGGGATGGAGTGTACAGAGATCTTGCGCGCGCTTCTGTCAGAACTTCGACCGTGAGACTGAAGATCGAGCTGGACCCGTAGAACCGTGACATCGTCCCAGAAGCGGTAGGTAAGGTGAAGAGATAGTCCGAATTGGTCTCCGATCCTGCAGGCAGGAAGGTTTCCCGAATGGATGAGCTGGCGCTAGTTGAACCCTGGGATGCCAGCGCTGGGCACCCGGTGTTGCCCTTGTCCGGCTCGACGAGTTTCGCTGGAGGTATCAAGCTCGTGTGCACCTCTTTCAGACCGTCTAGTCGCGATACAAGGGACCGGATGTATCTAGGAATGTGAGTGAACCGGTCGGCCAAACGCAGCCTTGGAGGATAGAGTTGAGGGATCTATTCAGCCTACTTACTTTCTAGGGACCGAGCGCTGAAGGATATGGTCGTAGACCGAGCATTCAACTTTGGCTTTTTCGCACAGTCTGCAGGCAGGGAGCTGTGAGTCGCACTTCTTCCGCAGGCGGTGGCATCGGTGGCAAGCTGGCAGCGATTGTAAAGCGGACTGGATCTCATCAGGGATGTCTATCGTGCCCATCCTTGTATCACTGTATGCTTTCACCTGATCGTGACGACAAATAGTGAAGGACAAGCTTAAAGCGGGGTGTATATGAATGCTCTCTTCTTCTGCGCCACCTTTTGACAAACATGGATGCAGGGGTGCCTAGGGGTCTGGATTTATGGGCAACACTGTCGATGCTTGAACAGCATTCCTTGAACAGAAGGCCCTTCAACTGGATGATAGATGACTAGTTGTCTAGCTCACAATGATTGGCATCCTGTTCTTTGCTTTGCCACTCACTGGTTATTTCATCGTCCCTCAAAAGAAGCTCACTGCTCGATAGCTTGAGAATTTGAGTTCACAAGATGGTCTTGGTATCATCCGCCCGCCGCGGCCATCGCCGTCACGATATACGGGCGCACGCCACACCGGCGTTGACCTCCTGAGGCGGACCTGATAAGTCAAGGTTCGTTGTGATGTTCTACCAGTGGGCGATAAGAACCCGTTAGGGTCTGCTGTGGGAAATAAGGGACGGTCATTCTGTGGTGCATAAGATCAGAGAGTTCCTGTGAGGAACTGTGCTGTGCCGAAGTTCCGTGCTGCTAGCAAAACATCAACCCCTGGAGGAGTCGTTGCAAGGAACCGACTCCACTGTGAGGACTATGAGATAGAAGCGAACCCTCCAGAAGGATGGCAATTGGCTACCCGTACTGAACGATCTGGCCAGTGAGATAACGTGCATTTGCTGCGTTATCCAAAGAATCAACCTCCGAGTTTCACTTCCAAGTCGGTCTACTAGTAATAATGGCTAGTTCCAGCAGTTCCGGTCTCGCTGACAGTATCTTACAGTCATGCATTAATACGAGGTATTGGCGATCCGTTTCTGCCTCCTTGCGGACCCGCACTCTGCTAGCCTCTACTGTAGTATATGACCAGCGTCTGTATATCCAGCGCGATGGTCTGGTCATCCACTCCCCGTACTAGGGACACAGCCTTCAGCCTTTCTTCTCTATCTCACCACGCTATCATAGACTTGTCTCGACGTCTCATTACGCGTGGATCTTCTTCACCACAAAGATAATGTGGTCCTTGGAAGATGACACGGCGAACGTCGACACAGTGTCCGCGGACCATTTTATCGTGCTTGAGGTGCCATAAGCTCAAGGCCAAAGTAAGTGATGACCTATCCTCCACTGCGTCCAGACCTGGTTTACGCCGTTGTCCCGGCCAATGCTGTGGGGACGTTGTACTGATGCCGTTTTGGTCTGCAAGTGCGATAGGAAATTACCGTCATGCTCGCGCTGTGCGGCTTCTGGTAAGACCTGCCAGGGTTACAATTCAGCGCGAAATGCAGCAATTCCCCGAAGTCTGGTGCAGAGTCTGGAGCAGGAGATCGACCGCTTGCAGACCGACCTCAGTGGCCTGACTTATGAGCACTGTGAAGCTCAGCCCCTACCTCGGTCGAAGTTGAACCCAGCAATGACCAGCCCGACCAGAGGAAATGACCGTAATACATCGCTCAATGCCTCCTGCTTGCAGTCGACACCCAGTACGCGCACCTTCGATCCTGCCGCCCGCAATGCCGCAAAGGAAGCCATCATCGCGAGTGCGGAACTCCAAGCCATGATCAGTGCCACCATACCACTGGGACCTTCGCTTACAGATGTCGTCCAAAGAATTCGGATGGGCCTGACACCCTCGCTCATCGTCTCTCCATCTACTGGAGGGAACTTTCTATCCCAGAGTACTCCTGGTCCGATCGAGACTCGAAGCCAGTCTCAAGAGGAAGAGGTGGACGCGTCTACGCTGGCCAGGGTACCACGTCAAATCGTGTATGCTCTGGTCAATAAGTATGTCCAACGATCATTGCCAGTCCATCCTTTCCTCTATGAACCCACGGTTTGGGACCAGCTGAGCCGTGTCCTGCGCAAGCTGCCTGAAAGGGCGGAATCGACCGAGGTCGACACCTTGCAACCCGCACCGACTGTGAAACTCAGCTATGATTTTCTCGTCATCTACCTCATTTTGGCGACATCGGTAATCTTGGGGAGTGCAACAGCTGGCCATGGTGCCCGATGTCTGGCGTTTTCTGAATCTCTCTTCAAGGAGGGAATCCGACATATTTCCAAAATAACCCCGTATCCATCTGATATCGCGGGCATCCAGGTGACTCTTTTGATCTTGCAGTACGCCTCGGTCAACCCTAGACTAGGTAATGTGTGGATCTTGAGCGGTCTGGCCATGAGAGACTGCCTAGAGTTGGGGTTTCATCGAGAAGTAGCCGATGTGTCGGACCCGTTGACTGCGGATCTGCGACGTCGAATCTTTTGGACTGCCTACTACATGGACCGTTCCATTTGCGCTGCATTGAGGCGGCCGTTCTCCATCCCAGATCTCGCAATCAGCGCCCAGTTTATGTCTATTCTACCCGACAGGTGCATCACTTCTGTGGGCTTGGTGGAAGACGGCAGTCCTCCGGCAAAGGGTCTTGCTCTCCGATGGATTCAATATCGGCAGTTACAGTCTCACATTATCGAGGTCCATTTTCAAGGCCGGCCTCTTAACGCCGGGCAAGATTGGGAAGAGTGGCTGGCCGTTTCCGAACAACGCCTACTCCAGTGGTACCACAGCGATCTTCCCCACGATGGCTGGACCGAGTTCGTATTTTTCCATGGTCTCGTCATGCTTCACCGACCCTCACCCCGTATACCGTTTCCCAATACTACCAGCCTATCTGCCGCCTTTGAGGCGGCATCTGCCTCGGCGCGGAGCTGTCGCGAGCAGATCCTATCGGGATTTTTCCCACGGCCGTTCCTAGCTGGAAACCACATGTTTGCCACAGCCCTCGTAGTGCTGTTCTGCCTACGGTATAATTACGACACCATCGCGCAGAAGTACAGCCCCCCACAAATCTTCGAGCTGACAAAATTGTTCAGTTCCAATCTTCTGGCCATCTCAGCTCAAGGCTGGAGTGAAATAGCTGAGTACGCCGGTATCTACGAACGATATCTGGCGCCCTTACTGGATTCTATCCTCACAGGCGACAACCCCGTCACTTACGCATATACCGCCAAGCAGGACGCCGAATTGCTTCGTTTGCTTTATCCGGGTCCCATCCATCCCAAAGAGCTTCGATTCACGGGCCCGGCCGAAGTAGAAGAAGCAAACTTGTCGTCCTTTGACGCTGCGATATACTCGCAAGACGAAACGCTGATGGGTAATGGTGACGGAAATATGTTCACGATCTTCTGAGCTACAGCGGCAGTCGACGCCCTGTTGTTCAGCTGGATCTGGCAGATCGGTGGCTGCGCCAGGATTCGAGGTTCTTGCGCATTAATACCGCGTGCTTACAAGATGGACAACATGGATGATTTGGGAAGCAGGTGGTCATCGGAGGGGGTTGCTTCGGTTACTATTTCATCAAATGTCATAGAGTTTCCAAGAGATGACATGTAACATATTATAAATGGCTCCTCAACAGGTGAAGCCACGGGGTTACACTGGCTCCTCACAAGGAGAATTAGGGAGCAAGGAAATGAAAGCGAAGTACGCAGCGGGCCGGGTACTGAAGCAATTCCAATCGATATCTCAAAACGTAGTAGTACGAGCGAGAAGGGGATTAGCTACGAAGTAAAGCTATATAATAGTTGAATGGCTATATAGACAGGACATCCGTGGTGCTCCACAGTGAATAGTCATCTTCTAAGCAGATTACTCCACGGTATACAGATTAATTACCCCATGAATCTATTCAGCTCAAAGACAACTAGCGCGGGTACAATACAAAGATGAAAATACAGAGTACGTGCAGCCAACTTTTCACAGGATCATGTCCCCCCGCTTTTCAAACCGATCGATTCACACGGTGACTAGGGACGTTTGATGGACAGATGCATTCTGTTTCCTGTACTTGACGTCGGAAAAAGGATTCCCGGTTTTCAAAGGGTCAAAGTCATTTCCCTTTTACTTTATGGCGCGCACAGCCTTTCCAGCGGCCCCGACCTTGAAACGCCACGCTGGCACAGTCTGATACACTCCTCGAGGGCGCCGATGTATGTACCTATATCTAGCGTAGTTCGACTTGGCACATGCCACGATGTAGAGTATTGTGTACAACTGTTCAGTTAAACCCCTTGCATCGTGCATGTGGCAAGATAAGGCTCAACACCAGGAATACCTCCCTGAAGGGAACAATATTTGAATTTTTATCGCTTAGATGGACGGTATTAATGTGAGCTTTGTAGAGCCAACTGAATTGATTGATTGATTAACTAGCAACTACTGAAGGTGGAGAGACTAGGTGGCAATAAGTGCCGCAGTGTCACTCGGCTAACCTTCCCAATAGGGTTAGGGCAACAAGCTTTTCATGGGCATTGCCTTGGAAATGGAGTATGGACAATAAGCCTAGGCCTCGTGAAACTTTTGTGTTGGCGAGTCGTCTTCGTCTTTTGGGCTACTCATGTTCGTCTCTCATCGAGGTTACATAGTCCCTGACTTTGGGGTTTTTTGGCCCGTCACACTCATGCCAAACGATGCTCGTTGAACGTCGAGAAATCTTCTTGTACAACGTACTTAGATGGCGGCCGGCGCGATCAACATCTGGCCGCCATCCGGGTGGAGAAGCTGGTTGTTCAGGAACAAGCCGCCCTTGCCCACCAGATACAGGATGGTCGCTGCCATGTCTGCATCGCCGCCGCCTCGACCTAGTGTTGTTGCGGGGAACAATCAGCTCATGTCCGTCAATGACCCACATCAAGAGAGGGAGACAACTGCGCTCAGACTATTGCTTCCGGTGATGGCATAGCAAAGACAGTCATTGACCCCGTGAACAACACGAGAGCTCAACTCACCTGCGGGATTGCTAATCTCCGAACTCAGTTCGCTCTTCTGGGTCTCGTCACTTTCGCCCGTTGTCATCTCGCTGGGGAAAATGCCAGGAGCGATCTGGTTCACCCGCACTTTCGTCTCGGCCAGCGTGCTGGCCAACATGCGCGTCAGGTGGATCAATCCGGCTTTGCTGGTGGCGTAGGCGAATTGGCCGTTACTGGAGCCCTTCATGAGGCCGCTGATGCTGGTGACGTTGACGATGCTGCTCGTGTAGCCGGGAGTGACGTCGCGGCCTTTGCTGAGGAGAGGGAGCTGCAGAATCAATGTCAGTGTTTGATCTGACTCTAGCTGTAAGAGTGATTGCGTTTTGAGGGTGATGATGGAGAGGGCCTTGGTCACTCCACCCTCTATGACTGAATTGACCTTGTTGCGCACGGACTTTGATGAATGGATGAATAACTCCCAAGAGGAACTTACAAAAGCGGCCGACATGAAGAACTGGGCCGTGATGTTCGTCAAGAACGTGTCCTGCCAGTCGTCGACCTCGGATTTCAGCATGTGCTGCGCGATGCTCTCTGCCGACTTCGTGTCCGGCTTGCCGGCGGCCGAGAACTTTGTGTGGTCGTCACGAGCAATGCCCGCATTGTTGACCAGCAAGTGAATACCCTTAGACTCCTGCTTGCTCACCTCGTCGGCGAGCCGAATGCATTCTTCCTTCTTGGTGATGTCCCCGGGCAAAGCATGGATGCTTCCGGGCCCTTTGCTGTACTGTTCGACCACGGCGTCGAGCGCCTCCTGTCGACGGCCCGTGATGTAGACTTTGGCCCCGTTGGACTGCAGTGTCTGGGCTATCATCAGGCCGATCCCGGTGCCGCCGCCGGTCACGACCGCTACGATGTGCGAGACATCGAAGAGCTTGCTGGCCTGCAGGTCTTCATTGGGCAAATGCGACGTCTTGACGGCAGACATGGTGCGACACTGGATGATTCGGTGGGTTTGTCGTGGCGAGAAGGATTTCAGCAGAGGGGATGATGATGATGTTATGCTAGTATTGCGAGGGATGAGGGACCGAAAACATTGCATTGCCTCCAAGTGTAATAACTTCTAATACAATATACTACTAACCTCTCGATAGTATTCAGCTTTATTGCTCCTGCGTTAATACTGGCCGCAAGAAACGGGGGGGAGCGATGAGCTCAATGAGAGCGTCGCATGGGCGAATCGAAGATGCAATAATGACGTTTGGGAGTAACACGCGCCTTTACGCGTTGCCGGCGGATCATTGTCCGTACCTATACTTTCATCACCATGACGGCCCGTTCCTCACACGTGGCATTGCGGATCTTGCCAGTTACAATGATATGGGGGCTTATGGTTGGGAGATTTCCTCGTTACAACCACATACAGTGAAGAAAGCCACCTGCATCTTAGCTGTTGATGGTAGAGCTGGAAGGCTCCAGCTTTCCACCCCGGGAAAAGAACAACGTGACTCTCGACCCAAGAACAAGGCCCGCCTCATGCAATGAGTCTCACGTCGGGCATCAAGCTGAAGGAATTGCTACTGCGGATTGGGTGAGGAAGGCACAGCTCGTCTCCATTATGAATGCTTTTTAGGGTAAAAACATAGCTTCTAACTCCCCGTCCTCTCTCTCCCCCTTCCCATATTGTGCATTGCCATTGGCCATCCATTGCAAAACGTCGTATGAACAAGAAAACACCCCCTTTCGTTCAATGTCATAAGACATGAAGAGAGATCGCACACAGCACGGACAACAGCACGGCACCAAATCTTTCGAACAGACCACCGCCAGCCAGCAGTCGACTCGCTCCACTTTTTCCATCGCCGGTGGTCAGCCCAAACGGCAGTCCTTGGTATCCAAATGTGAGATTCTGTGGAATCGTCGCATTCAGACACTGTCCATTCACAATATCAAGCCCTGTCAAGTCGTCCGGCACCTTGAAGAACATGTAACTCTGCTGGCTGAGGTTCTTGAAGCCCTCGGTGTTATAAGGAAATTTATCCCCGGGGTCTGTAGAGGACGTATTGCGCAGGAAAATGCATTGAACCTGGCCCGGGTATTGTGTCGCCATCTCGGGGTAATCGCGCATGACGTCCGAGTTGCTTGTATCTGCGACTAGGATAAATTTGCGATTCGGGAAACTTTGAAAGATCTTGTCCAGGAGGAATTTTCTGATGGACAGGGTCGCGGAGACGTCGCTGAAGTTGAGGGGTCGGGTGTCGAAGCTGCCACCTGGATCGACAGGTGAGACTCCAATTGACGGGCATGGAAACAATATTACTTACCTGGATAAGTGTCATAGATGAATTGCATGTAGTTGCGCGTGATTTGCTCCGGAGTGGTCGTCAGGTAGTGAAAATGCATGTTCGGCAGACTGACGGACCAGTTCCGGTAGATGTCTGGCATGTTCATCCACGGTGTGAACGGGAGAGCGAAAGTATTGAGTAGTCCTTGCTTGGGCTCATAAATCTTGGTCACACGTAGTATGTCGTCAATGTCCGATATGACGGTGAGACCTTGGTCGGAGACGAGGTATGAAGTGGCATTCCCCGTGTCAGTCCCCTGAGCGTAGACATTCAACCTTTGCGGGGGGATATCACCGGTCCCAGGAGTCAATGTGAACGAGTTGTTGTCTATTGGGATGAAAGCGTCAAAGTCGCCCTCCGGAGTTGTCGGGTTGGGAAGAGTTACGACCTGCTCTCCGCCGGCTGGAGTCACGCCCCCGCCTCCCCCAGGCTGTCCGTTGGAGCCAAACTCGGGACCAGGTAGGATATCCATTGTGACCGTTTGATTCCCTTGCTGGACAACGTAGATCTCTCTTGTGACGTTGCGAGCCTGGGCCTGCTGCGATGGATGAAGATCCTCGATGCTCGTGCCGATAAGGAAAAAGTTGGCGAGGCGGTCCACCGTAGTGTTGGAAATATTGGGTTGCTTGAACACGTTCCCGTGGATTCGCAAATTCCAACCAGAAGAAGTCCAATTCCCATAGCCCGGGATGTTCAATACCTGCGTAGGAGTGGCAACTAGATCCGAGCTACTCACTCCCACCGAGCTCATGACAGCACTGCCCGTGGGCAGGTTCTGCAGGTTGGGTAGCAGCCCATTAGAAACATATGAGGGGATAGCTGTCCCCAGCTCGCTGAAAATCGAGTTCACGTATGAGTCCACGTCGGACTCCAGATCACTAATGACATTTCGCCTTGCTCCCGCATACGATCCGTACACAGCAAGGGTGCGCGTTGGTGCAGGTGTAATCAACGCTTCCTCTTCCGGGGATACTTGAGTTGGCACCGCAAACGCCTGAAGCAAAAGAATAGAAGTCGCCAGGAGGAGTCGCAGAGCCATGGTTCCTGGGCTAGCGTTGAAGGTGAAAGCTAGGTTAAGGCTTGGTTACAGCTTGGCTTTTATTGGCGACAGTCGTAAGTCAGGTAGAGGCGTGTGTACAAATAATTGGATTTTGTCCCTGTGAAGATATTGTGCCCGCACAACTCATTCGGCACGAACCATCTGAACCCTTTAGAAGAATTCCAATAACAGAATAAGGGCACGCGATCTCAGACAGCCAAGAGCAGAGACATGAGAGAGACGTGTTGTATGGTGAGAAAGGAGTGACAGACTCAGAGACTCTTGGCTGGGAAGCTAGATCTGGCAACTCGCGGACGGAGCAGGAAGTGAAAATCAAGGAAGCTCCTCAATCCAAGGCCCAAGGCCGGCCATGCCATGTGGAAACATCGCCGCTCATCTGGGGATCGGGAAGTGGGCGTATATCGCAGTCAAGCTGTGGATGGCGTAGCTAGCGTGGGAGAATTGGAGCTTCGAGATGCCCGAATCGGGAATCGGGTGGTTTCAAGGCGCAATGACGTCAATGGCCATAAACGGACTAGTCTCTCGATCTCAATCCCAGCGATCGCCAGGCACCCACAGGCAGCAACATACCAATCAGCTGCAACACCCAACATCCATCCCTTGGACTCCTTCAACGCCCTCCAACCACCCCCAAACGCCCGTCCAGTCACTATCATGAACTCTTTTCCATCTTCATATGGCCCAGATGGGCCGCAATGGACTACCTGGCATGGCATGTTCAAGTCCATCATGGACAACTGGAGAAGATCGCGCGTCGTCCCGCAGAGGTCTCATCAGGATAAGTGTCTTCCCAATCATGGTCGACTCAAGATCATGGTCCTTGCTTCGATTCATCATTGCTGTACGCTTGCTCGGTAGCTGGAGTTTTGCACATTGAACTTTGCCAACAAGCACAACGCACTGGCCACTGGAACCCTCTTGGGCCAATATCGCCGCGTTTCCATGAGCACGCAGGAATCTGATCTGGACTATGGGTTGGTTGCCATTTGCCATCATTCCATCCAGTCCAGAATGGCCCGGAAGCACCCCTCCACTCGCTGGACAATGCGCCAAAGAAGCTCATCTCGGCATGTTCTCAAGGATGGGCTCTCTCATTCCTCACGAGAACCCCTTGGATGCTTAATTTCTACTGACGCAGGCCCGTGCTGCAAGGTCGATGGGGAACCCTGGTTGGAATGCAGCATTCTGATTGTGTTGTTGTGATCTCGCGTCTTCTAGGGCGTGGCTCCTCAAAAGCCAACCACCTCTGCAATCCTTCCTTGACCTTTTTGTTCTTGACAGTCACTCGTTTGGTTTGGAGTTCTGCAGTCCTCCACTTCTTATCAATCCTGTTTTCAGTGTCTTGGTGTTCGCAGAATACGGCATATAAAAGAAAGCTATAGGGTGGCCCGCCATGTGGCCATCATCGTCACTCGTTTTGTCCTCCCTGGCTCTGCGATTTGCAGCAGTTCACGCGCAGGCTCTGGCCACCGTCACCTACGGCCCCAGCGGCCCCTGTCCGGTGCCATCTGTCACCAGCGTCGTTGTAGTACAAGCGGGATACTACAGCTCTTTCTTTCAGTCAGCCTCGCAGATTGTGAACCTTTTTGGCAACGGTGAAACGGTTACGATTCAGAATGCCCCAACGACGTACATTACGAACACATACATTACCACGACCATCGTCTCCACGGTTACGAGTGTCGTCAGCCCCTCAACTACATTGACGACTCCGTCTGGCGGCGCGAGTGTTGGGCCAGTGACCACGAGTGCAACTCCCGGCTCCTCGCTCTCAACGTCCATCTCCACAGCCTCTACGGCAACTTCAAGCACCCCGCTTCCGGGCACCTCAACAACTTCCTCGACGGTATTCACTCCTGTTTCTCCTCCTGTTACGACACCAACCCCGGCACCAGTTCTGACTTCCACATCCGTTGATGCCCAAGGGAACACAATTTTAGTCCCGATTACACAGCCACCATTGGTTCTTGGCGAAGGTCTGCCGTCTGGAACCGTGACAGATCTTCCTGCATCATCAGCGGTCATCCTGGGCATTGCAGTCGGTGGTATAGGCGGAGCGAGGGTGAAGAGACAGGATTCAGGCACAGAGGCCTCCGACCTGCTTTCGGGGCCTGATGGCGGCTCCAGTAATGCATGTGACGTTGCTCAAAGGTATTATCTACAAAATGGTCAACTGACGAATGGTACCTATGTGGTCGGCCGCAACACTACCGACTCCAGTGCCCTCATGGTAGTTGATCCGTATCTCAACAACGTCACCACCGTGTTTGCGTTTGCTAATGGCATTTTGCAATGGGATTCGACCGATCGAGGCCCTGCCCAGTTCTATCGCTGCGGTGATGACAAGGTGTACGCAGGCTTCCAATCTCCGCCACAGGATGATTGCTACAATGTCACATTGGGCGGCATTGCAGCCAGCGCCTGTCCGGTGCCGTATAGGAATGCAGACGCTATTGCATCATCGACAACTACTTCCCAAAGCATTTCAACCACAACGGACGTGCCGACCACGACCCCGGAAGTGACCACGACAACGACCACGACCACTGATACGGAGAGTCCGACATCAGCCACCACAACTTCTGAATCGGCGTCCTCGAGCGATCAAACCTCGACTGAATCATCAGCGACATCGTCTCCTTCCTCAAGTTCAGAACCAACCGTCACCAGCTCTTTGGCACAGACTACTGAGCCTACTGTGACTTCAACCACCTCGGATGTGTCGCCCGGCACTACAGCACCCGTGTCTACTTCCTCTACGTCTGCTGTGCCGATAGGGACGAGTTCTTCAAGTATTGTACTTCCATCATCAAGCTCAATAAGCACATCGCCTGCGCAATCGAGCTCGACGAGTGCACTTCCTGCACAGTCAAGCTCAACGAGCCCGGTACCCCCACAATCCAGCTCGACAAGTATCCTCCAATCACAGTCAAGCTCGTCGGCTATTGTCACTACCCCGTCGAGCTCCAGCAGTGTTGTTCTCGTGCAATCCAGCACGACTGCTGCAGCCGCAACGACAGTGGTCGTGACCACAACCTCTGGCATTTCTTCAAGTGGAAGTACCGGCGCGGCCACAAGTGCACCAAGCTCTACATCCCCGGGCATTCAAAGTACAAGTCTGAGTAGCTCAGCATCGCCTTCTTCCAGCTCATCTCAGGGTACGAGCAATCCCGGCTCGACGACTTCAGCAGGTATAGTCTCTTCCTCTCCTTCCTCATCCACTGTCATCCCCACTTCAAGCACTACATCCCCGTCCCCAAACAGCAGCTCTATAGTAGCAACTACGTCGTCCTCAGCGTTGGTAGCCGGAACTTCATCGACAAATGCACCCACGACAGCTGTTGCTACTTCCTCTCCAGCCTCTACGCCCAGTGGATCAAGCACAAGTGTCTCGGCAGCAAGCTCCCAGCCGACCAGTACTGTCCCAACGAGCGCTACCACAACGGGAAACCCGGGATCGACGAGTGCCTCAAGCCCTAGCTCTACGATGAATAACATGGGGTCAACGAGTTCCTCAGGTCCTAGCTCGACGACAGTCAATCCGGTGTCGACAACTTCTTCGAGCCCCAGCTCTACGACAACGAGCGCTTTGGTGACTACTTCTGTGGTGACGACAGGCCAAGGGACGACCCAAACTTCTATTGTAGCCTCTTCTACAACTAGTAACGTTGCTACATCCACTGCTATGGGCAGCACGACTAGTGCCAGCTCTCTTCTAAGCTCTGGTACGTCTCTCCTTGTGGCTTCCACAAGTTCTTCTAGTCCTTCTGCATTTTCTTCTGGTCCTTCCTCGACCTTGAGTCCTTCGAGCAGCGCACCTAGTGGTACGACTGCGCTCTCGTCGGCTGCAAACTCCATGTCCAGTACGGCCTTCCCTTCGACCTCACTGGCATCGACTGGGCCTTTGTCTACTACAGTGGCTAGCACTATAGCACCTGGCACTACTTCGTCGGATCTGGCCAGCTCGGTAGCTACCTCTTCAATGGTAGTATTCACAACCATCGGTTCTTCAATTCCGGCTTCGAGCACGAGCAACGGTGGTACTACGACGCTGAGCAGTCCTTCTGGCGGCACAACATCAATCTCTGCTGCGACCTCAAGTCTGGCAGCGTCAACAGGCACTAGCATAGCCGCCTCTTCAGCGCCGCCAGGCCCATCGACCTCGAGTATAGCTATATCAACGTATACCAGTACGGTCGCGTCATCATCACTGTCAGTCTCATCGACCTCCAGTATACCTATCACAATGGGTACTAGCACGGTCTCCTCATCAGTATCATCGGTCTCTTCGGCCTCCTTCGCACCTGGAAGTTCTGTTGGAGGATCCTCAATGGCAAGTGGTGTCACAACAAGTGCTGGGGCATTCGCGACAACGACTGGATTAGCCTCGTCAATGTTGACCAGCGCTTCTTCATCGCCGCCGACCAGCGCTCCTTCATCGATATCGATCAGCGCTCCTTCGTCAGTGTCGACCAGCGCTCTTTCGTCATCATCTGGCCCTACTACTTTAGCATCAGGCCCGTCGACCCCGGTTTCATCATCTTCCAGTGTCGCAAGCTCGAATTCCGCAGCGTCAGGCACTTCGGCCACAACTTCCACGGGTAAGTCAATGTTATTTTTAGCCCACCTCTGTCTTCCATTTTCCCCGTCAATCTCTACTCGTGCGTAAATGCTTCGAATATTTATTGACTAACTCTGTTCGATGATCTAGCTTCCACGTCGGTTGGAACAATTGCGAGCTCTCTTGGAACCACATCAACCGCTTCCGCCACTCCAGTTACCACGTCAACTTCGGCTTCTTCTTCATTTGCATCGTCGATCTCAACACCTTCTCTAATTGCGACGACCACGAGTTCCGCAGGGCTGACTTCGACCACACTTATAGGGCCGAGTACGACCACGATTTCCCCTGTGTTTACATCAAGTACGAGCTCAGGAGGTCAGATGTCAAGCTCGGTCAGTTTGAGCCCGTCGACTAGTTCGAGTGTTGCTGGCACCGCAACCTCGAGTGCTAGCTTCGGGTCGACTACCTCAAGCTCGGCCTCCAATAACCCGTTGTCGACGTCTCTGACAGGCTCCTCCGCGGCCAGTTCAACCCCAAGCTCAGCGGGTTTTTCCAGCGCGAGCTCAATAGGCTCGACTTCGAGCACAGTCTCAAGCACGACAGCCGCGACTTCACCAGGGTCAAGCACTACAACCTCGACCTCTACTGTGACTAGTCCGACTGTAGCCAACACTAGCACTAGTATGAGTTCTGCTACCACAAGCTCGACAGCGCCACCCATTTCCTCCTCTTCGAGCGTTGCTACAACTGGCTCGACGGCCAGCACTACCTCGAGCTCTGTCAGCGCGGGCTCAACTGGGTCAACCGCGACTAGCGCAACTACTACTAGCGTTACTAGTTCGACCATACCAGGCTCAACGGCCAGTGCTACCTCAGGCTCTACCACCGCGAGCTCGACTGGGTCGACCGCTACTAGCGTTACCACTTCGAATATACCAGGCTCGACAGCCAGCACTGTCTCGAGCTCTGCCAGCACTGTCTCGAGCTCTGCCAGCACTGTCTCGAGCTCTGCCAGTACTGTCTCGAGCTCTACTAGCACTATCTCGAGCTCTACTAGTACTGTCTCGAGCTCTGCCAGTACTATCTCGAGCTCTGCCAG